TATTATTATTATTATTATTGTTATCATTATTATTGTTTGTGTACTTTTATTAATCTCAAATATTACCAATTAAACGGATATAGGATTTGAAAGCATAACATAATTTACTTCTGCGCGAAGATATATCACGTTGAGCAAATGAAGAAACGCGAAGTAAATGTGCAATAAATAAGAATGTAATTTGCAACGATGTTCTTGAGATAAGCAATCTAATGAAGTAAAAAAAATAAAGTTTCTTGTTGAATAAGTCGCCTACTAGACCATCCCCGGACGCGTTGTTTCTCTGATGTTTTCTTAGAAGATTGATTAGATAAGAACAAGTGCGAGTATACATCAAATCTATTTTCCAAAGTAGATTGTTCACTTTTCATTTGCGTTACTAAATCAGGAGTGTCCGCTAACTAGATTCAAGGATGAAAACACTGCTCAATGATATTTATCATTGCAATGCAGTTCTTCATGTCGTTGTTTTAATCAACTCAGGTTTAGAGTAATTGATTAAAAATGAAGTGAGGGCTTCACTTGGATTTATCAAATATTGTGGCGACTTACACGAGGCTTAGAAATCAGCGCGTAATGTATTATCAAAAAATAAACGTTACTGTTTTTCGCAATTAGTAGTTAAATTTGGCTAGATAAAATTTACAGAATATTACAACCTAGTTCAGTTCCGCTCTACTAATACTGTTGAAATAAAGTTTACACTAATTTAAATACTCTTAACTGAGATTTCTTAATGATAAGACTTATTGTACATCTGTAAATATTAAATTTCCTTAATAAGTTTTGCACAAATTTTTGTGTTAATGGTTCCCTATTTTTGTATAGTTGATATGATTAAATTTTGTTATTTACATTAAAATAAAAGTATAAATATTGAAAGAAAAACAATCAAACAGTTATCGTTATTATTTTGGTAAAAAGAGATGTAGAATTAATCTCTTTTACACTAGCTTAATTCCTGTCTTTGTCCTCTATATCAGATGCATTTTACTTTAATACATATAGTTATAATTATAAAAATACAAAGTCTCCAAAAATAAAGTCTTTATAAATTTTATTGTGAGTAACAACTGTTTTTTATATATTACATCACTTTACTACATCAATATTTATTTATTTCCATTTGTTAAATCCTGTAACGGTTTTGTAGACAACTATTCTCCCATCTGCCATTCACCGAAATTTATATTTACAATATTGATGTAAGAAATGATTGACATAACGAGATAGTATATTGCAACTCATTCTTGAAAATTTAAATCTTTTCGTTTGAAAACCACACCATGTGCACTCTGTATTAGTAATCTCAGTCAGATAAATAGTCAGACGGATGTTACTTTACTTGTCAAAAAAAAAATCCGTTTAAATATTACGAGTCAAACTTAAAGTGTTCTTAAATTTACTGATGACGAAATTTGAGGTTTTCGATTAATTAGAAATTTGTGTGCCATTGGAACAAATTGTAGAGAATCCTCTAGTTTTAGTCTGTCAAGCGTTATGACGTTCGTTAAATGATTTTGTGGATGGATATGTTTTTTTTTTTCGATAAGTCCTGGAGTTTTATTGCATGACCGTTGAAGAAATTACTGAAGTTTTAGGGCGTTAAGCAACTAGTTCTGTACAAACTACTTTAAGTAGGAAAACTAATTAGTCCCAGATCTTATGCTATCGAACTCTCTGATGAGTGATTGATCATTCCATTGGTCTCATTTGATTGGCTCCACATTGAAGAGTGTGACTTAATAAATATAATGGGAAACTCGAACGCTATGTGATGTATCACTGACTGAATTCAGAAGAAGTTTATACTATTATCGTAAATTTAAGCGCCCTTCATTTTATAAAAAGCATTTTGGATACTTTTTACTTTAACTAACCTAAATTTCGATTATTATTTTTATCAAATGACAAATAATATTATTAATAAAAATTTAAAAAATAAATAATGACGATGATACTATAATAATGAAATTGATAAATAATAGTGGTATATAATAATGGTGACGATACTAATGAGAATAATAATAAGAAATTATTAATATTGTTAGGCCTAATATTATTATATTTTCTTTTAACAAAGCTATTTACAAGCGTATGTCAACTGTATAATTTTGTTCACATATATAATAACATAAATCAAGGTAGCCGGTATATATATATATATATATATACATCATCAAAGAAAGGTAAATACAGTGTTTGAATAAAGGACATAATACATACATAATAATAATACATCGTATAGCATAGCTCTCAACGAATGTAGTGCAGTGTGTGTAGTGTTAACGGCTACACTTTCTTTTATGATATATATTATATATAATATATAATATATATATAATTGATCTATACTATATTAATCGTTATGTCTAAATTTTTATTGCAACACATGTTAGAAAATAAAAAAAGCTTTAGAAAAAAAATACGTTCACAAAGGGACTATACAATTATTACAAATTTATAGAAGATTTCACCAACCGGTGTTTGTATGCGCAGATAAACACCAATTTTTTTCGATATCACTTTAAGCTTCAATATATAATTCAATATATCATTTATATAACGTTAAATAAAACATATACTTCGAGTAACTACTAAGAGCTTATTATTGTCGCGTTCAGTGAGTACATGATAAAAGAAGCTATTACTTATTAGGCATTGTTACTGCTAATATTTCAATGATGCAGTTTTTCAATTTATAGTAATTCTGCGGATTTCAGCACACTTTAATATCGTTAGAGCCGACATTACATTTCAACATCGGATTAATGAAACGACAGTATTGTTGGGAAATGGAAATGAATACTAACTTAATGATTTTTCGTTAGTTTTCTTTCCGTAATATTTTTTTTTTATGATAGATTGCTGAACTTTAACGATATGTATGAGGTAAAAGTTTAGAGAGATTACATTACATATTCTTAAACATTCTTCTTGTACAGTAATTAGGGCTGTTGTTTATATGTTGTGCAAAGCAATCTGGCTCGTTGTTATTAGTATTTCGTTATAAATTGAGTCATAAAATAAAATAATTCGAAGTATGAGCGCTAACGCAAATCATTTACTATCTAGAAGAGGTAATTTGCAATTAATCTTTACGGCAAAATTACTTTTTCATGCAATGTATTTTAAACAAATTGACTCTTAATTTCTTCCGTAAGTTTGTCTTAATGCTGCAAAAAATTGATCTGATGATATTGTTGATAAATTGAAAGTTTCTTCCCTCCAGCAAATAATGTATCGTCGTTTTTATTATTGATTATTTTATCTAAAATGTTGAAGCAATTCATAGCAAGACACGACTGATTCAATGAGTGCTAA